TTTCATAAAACATACTGAGCAACACGAGCTAATGATAACACAAATTAGAATTTAACGGTATGTGTTAATTAAAAAAAGAAAAGAAAAGTTTTACTATTCAGCGGTATAACGAAAATGTTTATATTGAAAGTGGCATAAGTCACTCAAAAAAATCAAGTTAATGATAACATGGATTACACCGAGTAAAAATCAGTTTTGCACAAAAAATATATACTTCCAAAACTAGGAGCCAAATATAGTAAAACTGCGTTTTTAGTTTCTTTCTCTGGCGTCAGGATTTTTTTTTTAAAGGACTTTGAAATTTTAGAGATTCGATTAGATAGTTCCAAAAATAATTTAAAAAATTCAGCTCTATATAGAATAACAATATGGGTACCAAAAAACAGACAAAATTCTGTAGCATTAAAAAATATTAAGTTTTTGTGGTGCACAAGGACGAATAGGTATTGAAAATGTCCCTTTAAAGTTTTTGCTTCAGTATCCTTGAGGATTAATATACACGCGACCACACGTCCTTCTACTTTAGTAGCGTAAATAAATAACAATTTTTAAAAGGGCATTTTCAATATCAATTCGTCCTTGTGAACCAAACAAATTTTATATTTATAAATTCTAAAGAATTTTATCATTTACTTGGTTGGTTGGTAGAATCGTCGTCGCCTGAGTACATTCCCAGGATGCAATTAGCGCTGGAAGCACCATTTTGATACGCTTTCTCTGCGACCCTTGATTTAATCTGCTTTCATGATTCGTTGGGTTGGTCAAATCATTTGGATTTTCCGATGAATCTATTTAGGTTAGTAATGTTGAATTTGGAAATTTCCCCAAGATTTTGGATGGAAAAACTCCACCTTATTCTATCATTTACTTGGTACCCATATTGTTAGTCCAGATGGGAATGTTACTCATACGCCATGTACGTACGTTCGAATTTAACTTTCCAAAGATATCAAAAGTTAGCATAAATATTTTTAAACGCGAATTTACTTTAATCTTGGTAAACAGGGGTTTTTGGTATTGCTGAATACGAATATGGACCTAGATTTTCCAAACACAAAATGGTGGATGCAATATGGCAATCGAATTTTCCAAAAATTGATTGCATTTACGTATGTACATATATAAAACTTGGTACTATGGGTTCGCTGATTACGAATTTAAAATGAGATTTGCAATATTCAAAATGGTGGATTCAATATTGTGGCCATATTAAAAATTAAATTCTTATAAAATTTGATGCATATGTGTATAGGTTTTTGGGGTTGCTGATAATGTAAAGCCAGATTTCTGCAATCGATATCAGCTATAATGTAAAACATTTCCACTGACTTTTAATACGTAAAAAAACGATGATTTTTGCTTCATTTAATTCCTTTGAAATTCCAATTTTTATTTTTTTTTTAATTCGATCGGCACATGTATCCGACATTTTAGATTTTGTGTATCTGACTTCATATTCGTAGTTAGCGACCCCAAAACTCCCTAACTACCAATATTAAAGTAAATATGTGAAAATTTGTGAAACTTTGTTAGTCCGCCAGATTTTTGAAGTAGGAAATAAATTCTCATGTAATGGAGTAAAACGGACTTCAGATACGTGCTCAGCGACGCCAAAGACATATCGAACGCCTGGTGTGGTCAAAAAATGTAATCCTTTTTTTGTTTTGTTGTGGTCCTGTGTTATCGCATTATAATTTTTAATAGACAAGCATAAATTTAATGTAAAATATTTCAGTCATGTACAATTTAAAATTATTTATACTTAAAGGGCGGCTATTGAGAGTATGCAAAGAGCGTCCATATGAAATAAACAAAACTTATAAAAAGTGTACCTGTTTAATTTTCTCGGACAAGCATCTAAATATTTTGCCTCTATTAAAACGAAAATCTGCTTTAGCAGAACTTTTCAGGTAAGAATTATCGTTCGAGGGGTTTTACACCATTGAAACATCGAACTATTCTACACCTTTTCAACCTAGTAATGAGAAAACGTAAGTTTATAATGAGAAAACCTAAATTGTATTGAGAATGCATAACTTTCTATTGAGAAAACGTAAATTATAATGAGAACACGTAAGTGTATAATGAAGAAACGTAAATAATAATGAGAAAAAGTAAACTGATGTGGAGACAACGTAGATTTATAATGAGAATGGGTAAATTTGTAATGAGAAAACGTAAATTTACAATGAGAAAACGTAAGTAAGTAATAAGAACTGGGTTTCTTCCATTATTTGTGGTTCTTCCATTATTCACCCACTCTCATGTTTTGCAACGCAAGTGCATCTGCGTGCAATGTTGTTGTGGGCTGCACAGCTCTTGCGTAATCCCCTCCTGATTGTTTTTTTTTTGCTTTTGTACGAGCTGCAGGATCCAAGCACTGCAGCTGCTGGCTGTGCAGGAACCTCTCCTTCGGTCCATTAGCAAAATACTTAATTACAGCATGGCACCTATAACGTGGACATTTGAACCACGCGCAGCTGGTAATGCTTGTATTGCCCGCCGCGAAAGTCGGCAAAACAAAATGAAACTAGTCTCGTCAATCCAAACAATTTGTTTTCCTTGCTGTATGAAGGCATTTAGCTTCCGGACATATACTGCTCTTTTCTCTCTATTTTCCTGGCTGTTCATCGTTGTAGACAGTGATCGGATCTGCCACTTTTTTGAGCATCTACCACATGTACCACACAAGGTCTGAAATCTACCACATATTCGCGTTTTTGAGTAGTTTTATTTTTGCTCGTTATAATTTTCTTAATTTTAACAGCAAAAATTGTCCAACACTAAACACTAACAACAGGCAGAATGGGAGGATAAGATAAACATTAAAATAGTAAATTTTCTCAATATTCAATTTTTCGACCGGAAACATGGTTTTATTGTGTTAAATTGCAAAATATATGATCTACAAAAAGAAATTAATAGCGAAAATGTGAAAAAACGGCGATTTTTGTGTAAGTATTAGAAAATTTCAGTGCATCTAAAGTTTCTAAAGCGTTGTTTACTTTTACTTGAGAATTGAGTAGCGGTTTCTGGGACGTGCCACATTTGTGCGCTACAACATGATGTGATAAAAATAAAAGCGGGCAGCACTCCGCAACGTTGCAGAAATCTTTCAAAATATGTTCCAAAAATATCTTGATATGGAAGGAACTGATTTACACTGTCAAGGGAAAAAATTGCCAAATCTCAACGGAACTTTTAGCAACTTCAATCTTGCACTTTATTATACTAAAATTAAATTTTCTTGGATTCGAATTAAAATGTTAGCAATTTAGATGAAACCTTGCAGAATATTTTTAATTTTTGTACAAAGTTTGATCCAAAACCTGAGATCTACCACATTTTTTTGAAATCTACCACATTTTTTTCCAGATTCCACCACACAAATTTTTTTTCAAGTCCGATCACTGGTTGTAGGCTGTGTGTGAAATGTTTTCACACTATAGCGCACACCTTCAAGATGGTTCCCAACAGCTGTGCTAACTTCGACACAAGAAAACCTGAACAATTTTTGGTTAAAGCTGAAGTAGGGTTAGTCCGCAATCCTACTCCAGCCATTCAACAATTTTTGATAAATGAACATTCAAAATTTGTTGGGGCTTTCATTAGTTTTTTTGTTTCATTGTGCTGCTTCCACTGCAAATCCATCGAAGTGTAGTTTTGTAGTTAACGCCAAGGTTAAGAGCGAGCATGACCCAATATTCTCCTCGTGTAGTAAATAGCATTCACCACCCTTTCCCTGTCTTGTTCGGTATTTTTTTGTATACATTTTCCTCTCGCAAATTTGCGTTCCTGGAAAAATTAAGATAATTACGTCATTATGCAGTTTAATATACGCGAAACACTGCTATACTTCATATTTGTAAGACAAATCGCACAATTGTCTTGAAACTGCATTTTTACGTGCAAGTGCCTATATGTAGTTATGTTTCGTTGGGCACAATGAAAAAACTACGAGTGAAATTTTTTTCGGACGCCTTCAAAACCTTAAAGCAGTAAAACCGATCTCATTATAAATTAACGATTTCTCATTAAAAATTTACATTTCCTCATTAACAATTTACTTTTTCTCATTACTTTTTACGTTTTCTCATTATTAATTTACGTATTCTCAATATAATTTATGTTTTCTCAATACAAATTTATCTTTTCTTAATACAATTTACGTTTTCTCAATATAAATTTTTGTTTTCTCATTATAACTTATGTTTTCTCATTACTGGGTTGAAAAGGTGTAGTATAAATGAGAGGTGCTTTGCAGCGTTTGCTGTCAAAATATACGAAGGCGATCACGAGTACGAATAGGAAAACGAAAGCGACTGGGAATACGAATACGAAGGCAAACACGGAGACTAGGGACGAATAAGAAGATGACTACGAAAACGAATATGAACACGAAGACGAGTACTAAGAGGAAGATGAATACGAACAAGGCGAAAACGAACACAAATACGGATACGAAGACGAAGGTGAAGGCGAAGATGACGACGAAAGCGAATATGACCCCGAAGATGAATACGAATATGCCCACAAAGGCGCTCACGATTACGAAAGCGAGCACGAAGACGAAAAGAAAAAGCTAAATGTATTAAAATTATTTCGAAAATTTTGTCACTCAGCTTCGGCTCCTACACATATCGGGTCACAGAAGGTCCAAAGTCAAAAGCTTATCCCTAAATGAACACAGCGAATCTACACAATCAGTGCTTTCTGAAGGGTACATGGTAGCGAAGCCTGTAAAATGTTTAATAAGTACGAAAAGTTCTAATGAAAGAATTGTGAATCACAAAAACATAGCGTAAGTTAATTCACAAACAATTTTAAAGTTAATCTAAACCCCCAATTTTGAATTTAATGTTTCAATGTGAAGTAAAAAAAACCTTAAAAATTCACATTTTTGCGGACCTTAAAATGTTTTAAATTTTTTTTGATTGAATTATATTTTTTATTTTTTTATTTCTTCTGTAGTTTATAAGTAATGAAAAAAAACTCTTTAAAACGTTTCACAAAACATCCGATTCATGATTGAATAATTTTTCAATATCACAATTTTTGTATGCTACTTTACAATATGCGCTCTAAAGCTCAAGTTTCTTCTTCCTCCTGTACATTGAGGCCATCTTCTTCACCTGCTCCTGGAATTACGATGCCAAATGTTGGATTTTCAATCAATCGCACACCATGTTTTTCACGGAAACGTCTGCGCGCATATTCTCGATAGACCAGTATAGCTGCCAGTGCGCACAAAGCTATCAGCAATAAGGACACGGCACCGATGGTCCAGCGCGAAACAGAGACGCCGCTAATTATTTAAAATAGATATGTTTGATTATGAAATACTTAAAAGAAATTTGTTGGAAAATAAAATGGCTACAACACTCGTAACTTCAATAAAATTTCACAATAGAAAAACAGTTTAGGTAAGTTTATCGATTTCAAAACTCCCTTTTACCGAAACCGAAAAAGTATTCATTCTCAACCAATCAATATTCTCACCTCAACTTTAAGCGCCCCTCCATGGCATCCAATTTCGACACGCATGCGCCACGGCGCTCATTGTAGACCGTGCCCTCGCCGCACTGACATATCCCATTGACATCACATTTTCCACCCAGACAGTTCCATTCGTTGCAGTAAGCCACGCACACTGGCAAATCGTTGTCGGCGCTGAGTTTGAGCCGGTAGCCCAAGTCACAACTGCACGCGTTCGGCGCAATACATCTGCCATGACCGCAGTCCTGCTCGCATCGTGGCGCACACTCAGTGCGGCTACCGTTGAGAAAGGTATAGCCTTCCAAACAAACACACTCATCTGGCCGCAAGCATTCGGCATTGACGCAAGTATCTTTGCATATGGCCTGACAACGATGCGGCTCGCTAGAGTTTGTCACGCGATAACCATCGGCGCACTGGCACTTATTTGGCGCCACGCACTTGCCATTCTCACAAGATGGCCGGCAGTGAGCGATGCAGAGATTGCGGTGACGCGTCTCCTCATATCCACTCCAACACTCACACATATCTGGTTCTACGCAATTGCTATTGATGCACGACGGCAAGCAGATGGGGTCGCAGATCGCATTCGAGCCTTTGCGCAGCCGGAAGCCTTCATAGCAGCGGCATATACCGCCCGCCGCGCAAACACTATTGATACACTTTTGCGTACAGTGCGGCTCGCAACGTCCCGTCAGCCATTTCTTAGAGTAGCCCTCAGCGCACTGACAAATACCCGGCGCAATGCAGTGTCCATGCCCGCAGTCGAAATTGCAAACGGGATCGCACTCATTTGAGCGCAGCGCGTTCGGCCGATAACCACTGAAACAGCGACAAGTATCCGGCGCCGTACAAGTGCCATGCACACAGGATTGAGTACAAACCGGAATACAGAGGTAAAAGAGCAACGTTTGAAAGCCCGGCAAGCAGCTGCATACGCCTGGGCTGACGCAATTACCATTCTTGCAACCACGTGGACAATGCGGCTCGCACTCGGTGCTCGAACCGTTTTTAAAGATGTAGCCCTCGTTACAACTGCATGTATCCGGTGCGGAACAATGTCCATTCACACATTCGTCCTTGCAAATTGGCTGGCACAAATGCGCTTCAACTTGCCTGTAGCCCTGATGGCACTCACAGCGGCCGGGTTCGTTACAAAAGCCATTCTGACAGCCGCGTACACAAGTTGGTTCGCATTCCGAACGCGAGTTGTTGCGGTAAATATGTCCTTCTAGACAGGTACACTGATTCGGCGCCGTGCAATGCGCATTTACGCACTTTTCCTTGCAACTGGGCACGCAGGCCAGGCCGAGTAGGTTGTAATAGCCCTCCTGGCATTTGCATACATTTGGTGCGTTGCAGTAGCCATTCGGGCAGCCGCCCTGGCATACCGGTTCACACTTACCCAGCGTGCCCAAGCGCAACTCGAACCCGTTGTGGCAACTACACTCATTGGGCGCTTTGCAAATGCCATTCTCGCACGGCTCCTCGCAAATGGGTACACAGAGACCCAACGTTTCATTACGTTCATAGCCGAAATTGCAAGTGCATTTCTGCGGCGAATCACAGCGTCCGTTGATGCAGTCCACCAGGCACTTAGTCTCACAGTCTGTCACGCTGCCATTGACGAAACTGAAGCCATCATGGCAGGCACACAAATCTGGCGCGATACATTGTCCATTAATGCAGGGCTCACTGCACTCGGGCTCACAAATGGTGCTGTTCTTCATATTATTGAAGCCTTCGTCACATAGGCAAACATCAGGCCGCACACATTTTCCTGTTTTGCAATCTGCGCACCTCGGCTGGCAATCGCTGTGGGAAGATAGGGAAGAAAGTTAATTAGTTGTACCTTGGTTAGGAGTAGGCTGACTTACCCATTCTTAGTGTCGCGCACATAGCCATCACAGCATACTTCCTCAGTGTCCGTGTAGCTCTAAAAAACATAATTGAAAGTTGATGAGCAGAAGTGAGAAAGAAACATTTAAGTTGTTCACCTCTTTAACAGTACGCAGCACCAGTGGATTATGACTTGGGCCACAATTTTTTGTACAATTTTCATCTACTTGAAATTTCCGCATTGTTACAAGCGCCACTCGGGTCTTCATGGTTCTATCAAATACAAATACCATAGAAATTTAGTTAGGACGTAGACTTAGAAAGATGACACACATATTTGTATTTCCCTGCTTCGACTAGACTGTGACGACTGTGTCTTGAGCTCGAAAAAGAATATGTTATATTCTGGGATTTAGCAGATAACCTAGCTGATTTGTCTTCTATACTCACAATGGAGACAAAACGAAACCACATGGAGATTTACCTGTGCCAGCTTTTGGAACGAGTAACTTTCGCCACCATAAAGGTAAGTAAATCGCAATATTCTTGGACCTAGGTGACAATAACGTCACTGACGTTTTTTGTAACAAACTCAAAGCGGATTAGGGAGTGTCTAATACTTTTGAATATAGTTTACGGAAATGAGTGTTGCCAGCGAGGGTTTGATATGCTACAAAGGGATTGTCAATAAACCTCCTGAAGTCCATCATTGTCCCATTCCCCAAGAGAAGAAAAATCTACTTGCCCAAGGTACATTTCGTCGGATAGGAATTGAGTTCTCAGAAGAGGAAACACACATCTAACATTTCACAGCTTTCGAATGTTACCAACAAGGCTACAAGGGCGTTTTATGCCTGTCAAAGACTTCATGGTAAATGGGGAATATCACCCAAATTAACGTCTTTCTAATTCAATACGGTTGTAACGAACGTTGTTAAATATACGGAAAGCTAGACCACTTTTTCCGCGTGGCCAGCACAGGAGCTATGCGCGCTTGACCAACGGATGCCCTTGGGGCATTACAGCCATTCCGCCACTTTCTATTGTTATTGAAAAGAAGGCCAGCTATGCGCCTACAATCGAATAAGGTTGTAGTGGGTCCTTGGATATGAAGGGTTTGAAGGAAAGGCAGCCTGTCACGTAAAACATGGAGCGCAAATGCGTTTACATGGTCCAGAGCCTTTCTGCGGTACATCTAAAGGACACACTGCAGAACTGCTAAGGAACTGGGAATAATCTCAGATTGAGACAATCAAAGAAACTCATAACTGCTCCTAGTAGGAACCTCGAGCTGACTACCTTATCGGACGCGGCAAGCTAAAGTATTATGGGCTGAATAAAATGCGACTTTCTGTAGACATGGACTGCAGGTTTTTTGGGCTGGTGGACGAAAAACCAGAGCATATTCTGGCCAGGTAAAACGACACACCTTGGGGAATGATTATACTATTCTCCATCCAAAATCTGGAATATGGCACCCTCCAAAGGAGTGATTACAATTAGGGTTTAGCGCAATAGCTCTTTTCAGGTCGCAGCGCGAGTGTTCCACATTGACGTCAATCGAAGTCCGAGTCTTGCAATCAGTCTGAACTATATACAGGAAAATATTTGTTCTTAATCTTCAGCAATCAGGTCATAGGGAGCGTATGGTGCCGTAAAGGCAAATGAATATGACACGCGCGTAACCTGAAAAGGACGTACAATAAATTGGTGGACCCCAGGCTTGAAGTTTTAAGTTTAGTAGCAATTATTAAGCGACAATAGCTAGAATAGAGTAGAACATATAAGCATCCTTAATATTTTCATCCACTCTGTTTGGTTTTGACTACGACTACGTACCAAAAGTGCACTCAGTACTTGGACGATAAGTTTTATGCTTCCATCATAATTCGCAATAACCTCTTTAGAGCGTTCCATCTCACCAAAAAAAAGTACCTCCAATTGTAATGCCTCCCAAATGGTCAATGAAATTCGTAGGCCTATTCGCCCAGACACTTCACTAGTTAGGGTTAACAATCTCTTGTATTGTTCCTTCCCCCCTAACCTACGGATTTAAGTGGCAAGGTAACCAATAAATTCCAAGCAATTTTCCAACTCTTCGACCTATAAGAACTACTGAAACAGCGACTAGAAATTGTAGAATTTCTAACCGCACAAGTTTCCAACACACGATAACTGCTTGAGATAATCAAAAAAGGACCTGATAATCTCCAAACATCATTGAACAAAATGTTTGAATTATCGCTCTGGTAAAATAGTAAATTCGCTCTCCTAAATGGGTGTCACGAAACTTGTCCTCAGAGTTAAAAAGATTCTAGTTTACTCTGTTAAAATTCATCGAAATTATCACACAACTTCGAGCCGTAAATTTATCTGGGGCTTGTTTCTTTAAGTTGCAGCAAATGTGTCCTCGCAAGTGTCCCTCTGCCTAAATTTTATCAATATTATTTGAAGGATTTCGAAGTACTCAAAAGACTTAATTATCACCTCCGCAATTTTTAAAGCAATGGTACCTCAAGAAGTTGATCTAGTCCAGATATTTATTATTATTATTTTTTTTTTGTTTTTAAGAGAAACTCATAACTTTTAAAATCACCCCTCTTGAGTTCACTTACGGCACTTTTACCACACAAGACGATGCTAGCGCAGCATGTAGCATAAGAATCACACCAAATAGACTGTATTTTTGTAGTTTCATTATAACTTTTTTTTTTTATTAATTCTTACAATCACTTCAAATGCCTAGTATTTTTACTTTGTCTCCCGGTCGACTAATTCACATTGAAGCACTCTTTAATTTATTTTAATCTTTTAATGCCATAATATCTAGCAACAACTGGCTGGCTTCATATTCGCTGCCATAATGAATAAATCTGTTTAATTACGAAATTTAATGATACCCATTTGTATACGAGCAAAACTCTTCAGCAATCATTATCGGCTTATCTATAAAACAGTGCAAAAATATATGCAAAGAAGCGCGAGTTCAATTTTTTATTTATTTTTTTTTTTTTTAATATTACAGAATATTTTAAGTATGAAAAATGCAATTGAAAGATGTGATTTTCCGTTGACGTTGCCGCAAAGTGTAATAAATGCACAAAATTCATTGAACTCGGAAGGCAGCTAAATAGCGAGACATCTGTGCTTACATACATACATACTTCTATATATGAAAACGAGCCCATACTAAATATACATATATGCACATTTATAATAATCGTTGTAAGCTATGATGTAGTATAACTACTTGCGTGTACATACATACATACATATGTAAGACAGCATGGATCCAGGCCGACGCATGATAGGGCACACTCAGTCCTGATAACAGTGACACTTGCATTATTTTTTATGAATATATTTTTTCTTTTAATTGATGCTTTTATTTTTGCTGTAGTGCAAGTATTTTGAACTCATGAAGAATATACATACTCGTACTATAGTAACAGAAATGTAAGAAGTATTTATAGTACCAGTCGTACTTGATTAGAGTTTTCTTGCAATTCATACGTCAAAGCCTTGAACTGCTCACTTTTTCTTTGTTTTTTTTTTTTAAGAATATTATTTTCCTTTTTTAACTGCGGCATTGTGATAAATAATAAATAGAGGTCGTTGCTGATCTCTGCAACACTATAAAAGTAGAATACAGTTTGGTATAGAGTACATAAAGTGACATAGCTTGGCATTGAATTTTTAAGTAGGTGTGTTAGTGGATAACTCGGTGGCGTAATTTTAACAAGAATGTAATGCAATGCTGCCAACGCCGATCCATTAAGCCTTCGCGAGCCATCTGGTCGCCTAGTTGAGATCAGCAAAGTTTTTGGTGGATCACTCGGCAAATTATGTAAAGTAAAATTAAACTGTCTGCCTGCAGTTTTATCACATAAGGCGATGTAAGGCGATGTGCAAAATCCTAGTCCGCATCTTATCTAGGAACTGAATGTTTCACAATACGCCTGAGACGAGGCGGTGGTTTTCTCTGTCTTTCGAAGGACTAATTCAAAGATCTTCTATTGAGGAGGTCTTAGAGTTATTCTGTTTGTTCTTTAGCCAAAATTTTTCTAAAAATATAATATTACTTATTTTTTCTTAAACAACAAAGTCTAAAAACTAAAAGAACATTCATTTACAAAACGAAAAGAATAAGCGTCTAAAAATGTAATGAAATTATATCAAATAAGTTTCGAAAAATTTAATTTCGGAACAATAAAGTTTCAAAATTAAAAGAAAATTAAATAAAAAGAAATAAGTAAGTAAAAAACGTCCTAAAAATTTATGACATTAAATAAGTATTTTCTTACAATAAAATTTAAAGAAAATTTATTAGAAAAAGAAAAATAATCATATTAGAAAAATAACGATTTTTATGAAATATATTTCTAAAAACTCGAATTAAAAGATTAATATATTTTCCTCTCTTAAACTATAATATCTATGTAGAAGGTAAAAGAAAATTTTGTAGAAAAAAATACCTAGTAAATTTAAAAAAATCAAATTCCGCTGCCGCGGATTCGAATCTCGATTCTCTCGATTAGCACGTCATTGCTTTGCTCACTCTGCCATTGCAATTGCATTGCAAAAAAAAAAAGAGTGCATAACACCGTCAGCAAAGAAATTATCAAAAATCAACGCGATTTTTAGCAACTTAAAACTTGCACTTTATTATACTAGAATTTAATAAGCTACAAAACTGCATACCAAAAATTATTCTAAAAATTTAAATAAAAATGCTTGGAATTGATATGGAAAGTTTGTGAAATTTTTATAATTTTGGTACAAAGTCTGAAATTTAGATTTATGTGGTATCTGTTAGATAAAGAGCTATAATTTTATAGAAAAATAATGAACATAATAAAAAGCAAAAGAAAAGTAGTCAAAACTGATAAACATATTGATGTGCATTCGTGTTTCGCATGGGGTGTAACTCTTTTAGCATGGGGAAACCAGTTGAATCATATGAAAAAGTCCGAACTCTAGTGAAAGCGCCTACTGAAGATTGAGCTCACCAGGATGTTTGTAGCGATGTGGATAACGAAACGATGACAAGGCAAGTACCGTACAAGAAAAAAGGCAGCGATTTATTAATGGAGAACTATTCGCAGTAGAAGTTCCCTTAATTTGATGCAAGCATACATAGTCGCAATAGTCCAGTCGAATCGTCGTGAAAACGAGCCTTAACCCAAATTGACCCCGTGTTGCCATATGGCAACGCAAAATACATCATGTTTAAGAGGGTGTAAAATAAAAATCGCTTACTTCAAAATGCTTATCTGTACGTTAACTAATTCCTAAAAGGTGTATCTTTCGAAACGCTTACGCTTCCGTCAGATCCCTGCTGTCTAACTAGTGTAACGCAAGTGTGTTCTTTAAACAAAATTAGAAGTGACAAAAAAACCATCAAAATGTCATACATGAAGAAGTAAGCATGAATTTATAGAAAGCGGTTTTTTTATTAACAAAATATGATAGTAACAAAATATTAGTTAAAACATTAGTGACTCTATTGGTAAAAAGTAAGAATAAAAAACAATCGTGCATGCCATATAATTTAAGTGTTTTTTAAGTCCGTTGCCATATGGCAAGACGGGGCGTAATGTGAACTGTTCCTCTTTTTACTAAATTTTGATATGTTCGGGCTAGCCAAATTGACCCCGTGTTGCCGTATAGCAATGCAAAATACCATCATGTATGAGACGGTGTAAACAATCGTTTGTATGTAATTTTGCAGTTTTGCAGGTGGTTAACTCACTCCATTTAGCTCTGAACTGCCTAATCATGTTGTCGTGTATTTCATTGTACAAGTTTTGAAGTGGTATACAAATGTAGTTTGTCTCTTCCAGGGAAAACTGGTGGCGTTTTTTGCATTCTCATCTGCTACTTCATTATCCTAGATTACCTTGTGACCGGGCAACCCATAGATATGCAGCCTTTTATCAGCGTCTTGCTTGTGAATGGCTAGGTTTCATTTCCATCCCTCTTCCTCAATCGTTGTGCAAAAAGTTCGTTTCCACTTAAAGCTAGGTGCCATGAAGCCTGTGCTGCTTGTGCTTCCCGCCCCAATTAAGTGGTGCCCAAAGGTTCTGGAATTTAATTTCCCTATGACCGTCAATCTACGTGCGGATTTCGCAGCAGGGTTTTTAAAAAGCAGCCGTCGAAGTGGACCTCAGCGCTCCCGCGATGCATAGTGCCGCTAGGCGCTGCACCTTCTCCATTGGCCCGAGGCATAAGGACTTTTGTACGGCATTCCAGCACACCAAAGCGCCATAGATCAGTATTGGGCTGACTATTGCTGTGTAGCACCAATGCATCAGAGCAGGTGACAAACCTCAAGTGACTCCCAGCATTCTTTTACATGCATAAAGGGCGTTACTGGCCTTCTTCTCCCTTTCTTCAACATTGCACATCTACAGCAGATTACTCTCCAAGACTACTCCCAAATACTTTCTGTAGTCTTTAATTGACAGCTCGATGCAAAATACCTAGCCTCGGGGGTCTGCACACTGGGACCTTATATCTTTTTGTGACTACACCACTGACCCATACAAATTGACAAAAACACTTATTTGTGCTGGTGAAGCATGTAAAACTTTAGGACGAGTAGCTTGTGCAAAATGTGATGTGGGTTTATGTTTGAAATGTTTTTCTAATTTTCATTAACTTCTTCATCTGCTTTGCACGTAGAATATGCATATATTATCAATAAATGTATTAAAACTTATACACAATGTTTCTATTAATTCATGTTTTAACCAAATACTGTCCTCTAACAATCCATCTGGAATATGCGCCGTGTTGCCATATGGCAACGGCCGATATCGGAAGAACTATACTACTCGCAAAGTTTTAGTCATATTTTTTCCTTTACTTTATCGCTACTTTTACCCTGTATATAGGTGAAACCAAAAAAAAACCAAAAAAAAAAATTAATCTGGGACAATTTGGGTTAATTTGCAATACCATGTATGAATTTAGTTATGAATAGAATTGAATAGATTGTTATAAAAACAAGTTTAATCTAAATTTGCAGTGCTGTGCGAATGTTTTTTTCAAAGTTATGCAAAAAAAAAACGTTTTTATTTATAATATTGCCAATATCTAAGATGCATTTTGTCGCAAAGTAGAGATCATTTTACATGTGGTAAAATTCGCTACATTATTTATACGAAAAAAAAAATAAAAAATTTAAGCGAATGGATATAAGATTATTAAATGTCAAAGTGAAAAAATAATGCCGTTTTTTTGCAAATTTTTTGAAGAACACTGAATTACCTTCACATTGGTGTGCGAATGTGGACAATCCAATAAGCCAGTCTCTAGTTCTATTCTGCGGAAAGGACTTGGAGTAGTTTTTTAGACAAATCGACATCAGAGAAGTTGCATTGGTCACCAGACTTTTTCCAAAAATTTCGAAAGCTGAGATTCCGTTACTTTATATGAATTTTTCGTTTTTTTTGAAGAGCTGTGAACAGTCGAAGGACTGTTAGACGTAGATATCAAATCATTGGCTTTTTAACCGACTTCTAAAAAAGGAGGAGGTTATCAGTTCGTCGGAATATTTTTTTTTATGTATGTTACCGGATAACTTTGGACCACGTCAACCGATTTATTTATGCATCGGAAAGGTAGTGTCTCAGAGGTGGTCCCATGCTAATCTGGTTTAGATCCGATCATTGGATCATGAAATATATATATATATATTTTTTTTTTTTATATGAAAATTGAAGTCGGTTTTTTTGCCACAAATTACTTGTTTTCATATCAATAACTTTGTAAGAAACTCATAAATTTCGAGCTGGTTTAAAGACTTTGTGGCACATCTTATGAAGACGACTATGACCTAAGATGTTTTGGATGTAATGAGAAGGGGTAACAACGCAAAA